TCCACTCACTGACATAAGGTTCTAGAACAGTTTTTCTCGACCGTTTGTACTTCACCGAACACCTGTAAAATAATTAAAATTCTGAGACTCAATTTAAATTTTAATAAGGAAAAAATATTAACGGGGATTTATGAAGAATCTGCTTTTCCTTTAGAGAGGCCGATATAATGACAGATTTTAATTCCTTTAGGAAGGTAAAAGGGAAAGTATTACCACTCTTTCTTAAGGATTAATGAATTTAGCATTCAATTTAAAATATATAATAATCTGTGATATGACGATAAACTCCATCCGATAGCAAGGCCTCCAGTCGGGAAATTAGAGGTTTTGAGGAACGTGAAACTACCTCTTTATTGCTGTTGATCCGAGGTTCACCCTGATCCAGGGTGGTAACACCTGTTAGGGTCCCAGCTATGGGCAAATACTGAATCCCCAAACAAAACACTATGGAAGTATAAAAATATATTTTATAGTGAAAATACCAGCAATACATTACTATGTAAAAAATATTACCAGCAATACGCTGCGACTTCGACCAAATCCGTTTAAAATACTACAAATCAACCAACATGAATGAACTTTCATGGCATTATTCCATATAATACCCTACAATTTCTAGACTATTCCAAAATCTCAGACTATTCCAAAATATAACTTCAACAAAAGTGCAGCATAAAAACGCATATCACCTATGCAATTAATAGTTATTTTCCTAGCGTAGTCCGAATGTATGGGTTATCTAGTGAGGATCGAACTCACTTTCCAGTTGTAATTGATCTAGCGAGACAAGATTGCTAACCATCACACTACGCCGAGGTGCCCCACCTACTTAATTAATATAGTGTGTTGCAATAACTTGGACAGATTTTAAATGTGAATTAAGTTTAAGCGTCTAATTTTTTTTCTTTTTCTTTCAGATTTAACAAATTAAGTCTTTAGCAATTTCTAACATGTAAAGATTAATAATCAAACAACGTTTTGAAGTTATCGAAGCCTATTACGAAAATGGAGGTTCAAAAAGAAATGCAGTGCGAATTCCCAGGTCACATCATCTCTGAAAACAGCGAAGTCAATTGGCCACCAGGATCGTACGACTTGATGTCTTTAGATTTCTTCCGTTGGGGTCATCTCAAAAGTAAGTTCTATGCCAACAAGCCAACAACAATTCAACAGCTGAAGGATGATATAATAAGGCGTATTGGTGAGATATAGAGGGTGTTCCAATAACTTGAACCGATTTTAAATGTGAATTAAGTTTAAGCGTCTAATGATTTTTTTATTTTTTTTCATTTTCTTTCAGATTTAACAACTTAAGTCTTTGGCAATTTCAACCATGGAAAGATTAACAATCAAACAACGTTTTAAAGTTATCGAAGGAGGGGGATGTGAAGAAGGAAGTAGAAGAAGAGGAAAGAGAAGAAAAGCAAGGGTATTGTAACTGTATCGTTGACGGTTAATTGAAATGTATATGACATTTTTTTAATCCAGCCTCATATGTGCATATATACATATATACGCTCTAAATTAGCTATAGAATGCCTGACTAAACAAATAGTTTTCATGCTATACCCTTTCAGGACATAGGAGACTATATCTGACTCTAGATTCATTTGGCCGACGTATATATCAAGGTGAAACACGTAAGATCACCGCAACGTCGAACCTCTATGGATGACCACACTCGAATACCAGGTGCTGTGAACTTGGATATTGAGTAATATAATCGAGAATTGGAAATGGGAGAACGGAGTTCCAATTCCAGTCGAGTTCGTTTTATTCCCGCACGAGCAAATACACTTGGGAAAGGCATGAATCCACTTCTCTCCTCCCAATTTAGTACGACGTGTATCAATGAATCATCGCTGTAACCCAGGATTTCAGGATTTAAGTAACTTGCAAAGGGTTGGTAAGCCGTAAAAATTAATCAATCAGTAGATTCTTTTGCTGTACAAAACTCAAGACACACCAAGAAAATTAAGAAAAATTGCTGTCATATCTGGGCTGGAGACCCTGAATCTCAACTTTTCAGCGCTGACAGTGTTCAAAAGCGCTTACGCGACCTTGTAGGCGATTAAATATTTCAACCCTTGTCATATCCGTACTTATGAACAGTAATGGTTATATCTCAATCCTCATAAATACGTTGCACACTGTTGTAAGTGGGGGTAATATGCTGTCTATATAGACCACTTCTAGCAGTAGTTTACCTACTTCACACCGCTGGCGAGTATGTTATTTTGTTGATGTCATGAAGATTACCATTTCATTTCCAATCTCCGTTTTGGTTATTCCTCATTCAGTAACCCTTTCTAGGTTACAACAACCGTAAATCCCTTTTTCGTACGCGAAGAGTCTCGCTATTCTATCCTTATTTCTATTACAAACGTTCAGACGTGCTGAACTTACTCCTTCCTATTACGTTCATACAACAACTTCACTAATTGACTCATTAACTTGACTGGCTCTTGGGCCTTCGATTGTAAAATTTTAGTATAACGAGCAGTGAATCTCAACTTTTCAGCTCTGACGGAGTTCGAAAGCGTTTACGCAACCTTATGGGTGATGAAATATTTTTTTTAAACCTAAAGCCTCTTTCCCATACGTGAAACGTTGCTAGCCTCTCGCTAATCTATCCTAAGGAGTTCCACTCAGATAGATCCTTCCTTAGAATAGCTACTTTGTGTAATAGACTACAGCGAATTACTACAATCTTAACATTTTCATGTCTAGGGTCAAACGCTATCTATCTTAAATATCCTTATAATTTACACTTACTTCTTCCTTACATTTAAACAGCAATCCAACTGACTCATTACCTTGAATGACTCTTGGGCATTCGATTATTAAATTTTAGTATAAAGAGGTGAAAATTGCCATGCATTGTTAGGAAAGGTAGTGGACGTGCTTCCCGTTGTCCTCTCCACGATTTAAAATTCAAACTTGTCCTTCTCTTCAGCTTGTTTCCACACAAGGCTAGAGAAGCCAATTTACTTTTAGTATTAAACACTCAATTGGTGAAAGAAGTGAAGAATTCATGTCCTTTCCTAGGCCGTTATGGCGAAAGTGAACACACCAGACTAGCCTAGAATTTGAACTCAAATAACTATATATATTAATTTAATAACTATTTTTTAGTGAAATTTGGACTATATTTGCATTATTGGGTATACGACTGCTTGTTTTTGAACTCCTGTCTAGTAACAAGAAAAAAAGCAAAAGATAAAACTATATAAAAAATGCTAAACACACACACATATATATAGATATATATATATATATATATATATCGATAAAACTCATAAAGTAAACGTATATATATATATATATATATATATATATATATATATATATATTTATGTTTATAGTTTTGTTTTTGTTCTTGTTAGTCGAGGGGTTCAAAATAAGCAGTCATATACCCAATAATGCAAATGACTGCTTGTTTTTGAAATCCCGTCGACTAACAAGAACGAAAGCAAAGGATAAAACATTATCTAAAAACTTCTAAACATATATATATATATATATGTGTGTGTGTGTGTATATATATATCGATAAAACCCCCAAAGTAAACGTATATATATATATATATATATATATATATCGATAAACACCCCACAGTAAAATTGAAAATATTTTTTAAAAAAACGAGAATTTTTTGTAAGCGCTTTGTAGACATGCCACGTATGTCTACATGAAAAACTAAATATTATTAAGTTTCCTAAAAATTATAATCTATTAAATCAGCGAAATGAAATAACTGTCTTATGTAGGTATTGTGCAATGTTTATAGTTATACAGTTAATTGATTTTTTCGTAAAAAATCTCTGTATTACAATCATATTTTCATTACTTTATTATATATGATGGTAAATATAAAATTGATTTAATTCCTTGATTTTTAAAAATTTTAATCATGCCATGTATTAAAACCCACTGAATAAAAAAGTAATGAATTTCAGGTTCAAAATTATATAAAAGTAATTTAATCATACTAGAGGCCACTTTAAGATAGTTTTAAAATATATAAAAATAATAAAAAAAACAAAACAAACTTAATCTACACACATCTCTCAAATTATTTTTCGTAACGTGTATATTCTTAACCGGAAGTATGACGTCGTATCGTAATATGACAGTTCCCCGAGACATATATGAATATTACCCCCACAACATGTAACCTATATTTTTAACTTTTCTACGTTAACTTTGGCTTGTCGTTTGATTAGTCAAAAAAGACACACCTATACAATTTTAAAATCTACATCCCCCACTCCTTGTTAAATCTTTAAAAAGAAGGCGCATTGTTTTTTCTTTTCAAAAGTAAACCATTTTCATCTAAAGTTAATGAACATTACCTGATGACGGGATAAAAAGTCCCGAAACATAGAAATTTCCGTGTCGAAATATAAAATATTTTAAAATAAAAATACCATTTTGTATATATATATATATATATATATATATATATATATATATATATATATATATGTATGTATATATATGTATCTATGTGTATATATATATATATATATATATATATATATTATTAAAACTTTTCCAATTTTGTTATAGCTTGTCTAATAACATACACGTTTGTGCTAGACGCAAAACAAGTTTAGAATAAAAGTTTTAGAGATCAATAACTGATGATTGTGTGTTTTAAATTCGACAAAAAAGTTTCTGCACTCTTGGAGAAGACCTTATTTTGGATAAGGAAGAAGACATTGTAAGTAGTACTTGGCATCTCAGCTTGTTACTTCAGGATTATTTTGAGAATTTGGCCTGTTTCGTCTGCTTGTTAAGCAACTACTTCATCCGACCACAAACACCCTCCATTTCCATATATTTTTTTTTCTCTTCTTCTTTTCCTGACGGTTTGTAAAGTTTTTTTTTTTCTGGCGTTATTCTTTCGTTTTTATAGTTTTATCTTTTTATTTGTACATTTTGATTTCTGTCTTTAACTTTTCTCCCTTTATTTTCTACGTCTCTCTGGACACTCGATGTTTTATTCGTCTCTCCGTCTGTCTTTCATCTGTTGGTTTCTATCTATATATCCATTCATATATCTATATTTTCTTCTCATTCCCAAATTTTCTCTCTCTTTTCATTCTCTCTCTCAAATTGTCTCTCAAATTGTCTCTCTTTCTCTTTTCTTTACCTCACTCTCAAATTGTCTCTCTTTCTCTTTTCTTTACCTCTCTCTCAAATTGTCTCTTTTTCTCTTTTCTTTACCTCTCTCTCAAATTGTCTCTTTTTCTCTTTTCTTTACCTCTCTCTCAAATTGTCTCTTTTTCTCTTTTCTTTCTCTCTCTCAAATTGTCTCTCTTTCTCTTTTCTTTACCTCTCTCTCAAATTGTCTCTTTTTCTCTTTTCTTTCTCTCTCTCAAATTGTCTCTCATTCTCTTTTCTTTACCTCTCTCTCAAATTGTCTCTTTTTCTCTTTTCTTTCTCTCTCTCAAATTGTCTCTTTTTCTCTTTTCTTTCTCTCTCTCAAATTGTCTCTCTTTCTCTTTTCTTTACCTCTCTCTCAAATTGTCTCTTTTTCTCTTTTCTTTCTCTCTCTCAAATTGTCTCTCTTTCTCTTTTCTTTCTCTGTTTCAAATTGTCTCTCAAATTGTCTCTTTTTCTCTTTTCTTTCTCTCTCTCAAATTGTCTCTCTTTCTCTTTTCTTTATCTCTCTCTTTTCTTTATCTCTCTCTCAAATTGTCTCTCTTTCTCTTTTCTTTATCTCTCTTTTCTTTCTCTTTCTCAAATTCTCTCACGCTTTTCTTTCTCTCTCTCTCTCTCAAGTTGACCCTCTCTTTATTTTTAATATATATATCTCTTTCCTTGTTATCTTCCGTTCGTCTATTCTTGTAATTTCTGTCTTTTATTGTGTTTCGAGATCTCTTACCAGAGCGTCTCGTTTTCACGGGGAAAATTTTGCATATCCTTTTCAAAATATTTTTGTCTTCTTCTTTCACTTCCGTTTCTTTTAAGTTTATAAATTAGCGTCTTTCAATAAAAAGAAAAACAAAAAGAAAACAAAATGGTAATTACACTGGTAACATTAGCCGTTTCCCTATAAAGTAACATTCGGCATTCATTGACTGAGCAGCTAGTGCAGTTTTCGATTGAAATTTATAAAATCTCATATTTGTTTTTAGGAAAACGGGTTCCTCTAGTCCAGTAGGTGTTATCTTTGTTTCCAGTACTAATGGGGGTTTCCTGCTGAACAATCTACGTCCTGGGCATGACGATAAACTCTGACTGGGAGGTTTTTTTAATTGGTGGTGTTTCCTGGTCCACCCTGACCCGGGGTGGTAGCACTTATTAAGTTCCAGTCTATGAGCAAATATTGAACCCTCCAAAATGGCGTCAAAACATTATGAAAGCATAAATATATTTTTGTAGTAAGAATACCAGTAAAACATTTTCAAAGTAGAACAAAAGGTACCAGCAATACATTTTGAAATAAAAAAAAGAATTACCAAAACTCCCCCAAAATTAAATTTTTAAATGTTAAATGACCCATAAGCATTTGATGTACCGTTAAACAAACCAAATCAAACAAAACCAAACAATCTATTTGAAGTGGTGTTGAATGATAATATCTTGATTATGTCTTTATTTTCTCTTTGAGTTATATGTGCTATCCATTTTAGTTGTTGCCGCTGTTGGTAGTCCCCAAATGATATGGTTATTTGCCACAGTTATTATTTTTGTGATTCTGTAGCGCCAATCCACAATGTTCAAAGAAGGATGATCATTGCCAAGAATCCAAGACTTTACTCATTGAGAAACTTTTTTTCACCATTGATCTTAGAAAACGGCTGCATAAAGCTGACAGTTTAAATATTTCTGAGCAAGTTTGGCACCATACATGGCATCCATGTGATAGTCTCGATCTGAGGAGACTATTTCAAAAGATGACTCTTTCTTTTTTGGTAGAATAGAGGAACGGGGTAAAGAATCGAGAGACGAAGTTAGAGACAGAAATGAAGAAGTGAACAACAGAGAGAGATTAAGAGAATAATAAAAGAGGAACTGATGAGAGGGAGATTGAGAGTAAGCCAATCCAGAGGAAAGAGTGATTAATTAAGAAGAGGGTAGAGAGAATAATAGAAAGACTTAGTACACGAGACAGGCAATGGAGAAAAAACGTGATAAAAAAGATTGATCAATATATATATATATATATATATATATATATATATATATATATATATATATATAAGTATATAATTGGTGTAGACGGAATGAATTCAATAAACAACAATTATTAATTATTGGTTAGAATAAATTCTTTTTTAATATTACCCCTATTTTAAAGATCTGAATAGCTATTATAACATGACTTGGTTGTCAAGCTTTTTGAATTTTCCTATACTTGTATTTTGATTGGTCATTCTAGCTTTTGTAACAACGTTTTCCCCTTGCGAAGGATCGTTAATTAATTTGAAACTTTTAAAACCAATTATTTTACATTCAACATCATCACTTGATAAGACACCGGAGGTGTTGAAACAAAATGACTATTTTGTAGTGATTTTATAACATATATTTATGTTATAATTTTTAAAAATAAATAATTATATATATATATATATATATATATATATATATATATATATATATAATAAATAATTATATATATATATATATATATATATATATATAGAGAGAGAGTAATAAGGACTACAAAAAGGTGAAGGGGAAAAGACGAGTAATATTTCGAGAGATTAATAGTCGTAATCTGTATTTAGTATGGCTTCCACTGGTATTCAAAATAGCGCAATGGTTAACAAGCTTGTCTTGTCAAATAAATTACAACTCGGTAGTGTATTTGATTCTCACTATGTGCCTTCTACTTTGGACTGTATGCCAGAAATAAGCGTAACTTAGTAAATTATCATATTATGGCCACATCGATCTGTTGGAATATTTAGCAATCTTGTCTTGTCAAAACAATTACAACTCAGTAGTGTGGTTGATCCTCACTATGTGCTCTCTACTTTAGACCTTGTGCCAGATATATTCTTAGCTTAGTAAATTATCATATTATGATCACATCGACCTGTTGTAATATTTAGCAAGCTTGTCTTGTCAAATCAATTACATTACTGTTCGCTTTGCCTTGCATATATTGTTTGATCAATATATTTTTACCCTTTTTTTTTCTTTTCTTTCTCTGTTAGCTCCATTTGTAATTACTCGAAAAATAATTTGAAATAAAAATAAATAAGAACTTTGGCAAATTTACCGATAAAATAAAACAACTAATTCGAAAATTTGAAAAATTTAATAAAACATTTGATAGACAGAACTTGTCGGTATAACGAAGAAGGATTGAAAGATTAATTCCAGAGGAAATACACATTGATTGAGTTGAGTAACTTTTTAAATATCTTGTTTCCAACCTGAGACATATAGTAGTTTGAGAAGCACGGTCCAAGTGGATTTCCCATACTAACTTTGTTAGTTTAGATATAAATATTG